CTCCAGAGTGTTGTTCAGCATGGGGGTGAGTAGAAAATGAAGGCTAATCATGTTTTGGGTGTACTATTCCTTTAAATTACACATTAGTTGAGGAATGTTTTTATTTCACAGGTACAGAAACTTGTAATAAACCTCTTGAGATGAAGCCATCTTGTTTTCAAAGGGGTCTTTGAACGAAAGGTGGAAAAATTAACCAAAAGGACATAAAACATTAAAAACAGACAGATAAAGAAAACAGATAATCCAGTATGAACAACACAGGAAAATACATATATAAACAGATGGTCACACACACAATCACACCTTGTTTTCAAACACACAAAGCACAAATATACCAATATATTATATTTTCTTTAATGCCCACACTAAAAAAAGAGTCAAAAACAGTTAAAAATATTTTAAAGATGTTGAGCAAGGGCTATCTTAAATACATAAACAGGTTATAGAGAAGAAACTGTTCCGATCAAAAGGTGCTTCATATTTAAGTGACATTTTTCCTGATTCTCAGCACAATAAAAATATTTGTGCTGCATGTCTAAGACTATAGGATGTTCTAAATTAAATCGGGTATTGTTTAAAATAATCAGGACAATTAAGATTATATAAGTATCCAGTGAAATCATCTGTAGGATGAAGTGAGCCAGAATAGATCCTGGTACAAAAGACGGTGGTGGGTTCTGAAAGGGCCTCAACGAAGAAACCTGCACACTGATATTTACAACATTACGTGTTTGGAGATTTTTAGATGTTATATTCTAATAAATGAGGTCACAGTAGTCAAAATAGAAAGTAGTACTTGTGTTACAATCCTCTTTGTGTACTAAGAGAGAAAAACAATTAATTTCTAGATAAAGAGGTTTCAAACAATTTGTAATTTTATTTGTAACAGAATATATATGAGAGGAAAAAGAAAACCAGAGGCCTAAAAATGTAAACTGCTCAAATGGAACAGCTGATGTCATTTTCAAACATGTAAGATAAAGCTTACAGCCAGGTATTGGTTTTTTGTTTTGAAACAAGATAGTGTGATTTTGTTTTATTAGGAATCAATTTATGGGCTTGAAGCCAGACATGAACTGTGTCAAAGTGATTTTAAAGAGAGAAAAACAGGTTAGATTCTACGGTGGCAGAGGGGTGCAAATGAATAGATTATTTTGCAGCAAATTCAAAACGTTCTGCAAACTTGAAATCAGACTAATGAAGAGACACAGAAACCCATGCAATGAAAACATGCTCCAAAGGATTAAAGCTACAATCACAGAAAATAGAGAACAGTAAAGTAGAAACACGCTGCACACACAAAGCCTACTGCAAATACATACACTCACCG